TCATAACACTCCATCACCCCAGTACACAAACCACAGTTTGCTTTGCAGCAGTAACCAGATACAGATAAATGCTGACATTCACCCAAGATGTGAAGGAAGAAGAGTCTTATAAGAAAATATTAAGTGACTGAAAAATACCACTTTTTTTTTTTTGCAATCTGTGCACATCCAAAACTGAGACACCACAGATACCTGCCAGGGAAAAAATTCATGGGCAAATCACTGACTGAGGCAACTCCAGAGACTCAGCAAAAACTTTACAGCATAGCAGACAAATTGGCCCCAGCCTGTCTCTGATTCCTAAGAGCTACAATGCCTGGGCGAAGCGTGCTCCAGTTTTCTGTCTGCTGTTGGTCTACTAGAGGACAACCTAATAATGATGAACTCCTTTGGGTTACACAGAAAATGGCCCATACTGAAAATGCTGCTGCCAAATCTGGCTGGCAGCCCATGCTGGGACTGCTGATGTGTGTGTGCTAGGTCTGGTTTTTACTGGTACAGATTGATTCTGGTCTTAAACAATAGACTTACGAAGCTCCAAAAAAATGCCTCCTACATTTGATGTCAGCCTTTGCAACTACACAGAAAGAGACAGAAACAAGGGATGTTTTCAGACAGACAGATACAGATTTTATAAAGTACATCCAATCCTCTACACTGTGCTCTGCCACAGAGAGAAACCTGCCTGTTGCTGATGGTTGACTTCTGACATGGTATTATGCTTTTACAGTGCAGAAAATGTTCCGAGGTACAGAACGATCTGTTTGCCCCAGTACCATGTGATTTATCAAGCTATAATGAAGGAACCCATCTCATGTATAAACAGTGGGCAGGAAGCACAACAAAATCATCAGCTCGAAGCCACAGAAAAGAACAGGCTACTGCTCTGGCAAGGCAAGGAAAAAGAGCAAAACAGCTTCTCAGAACCCAAGGGGTTTCTTGCCGAGTATTTTCAAGACAAATAGAAGACAAAATCTGAGCTAGCAATAGAGCTAATTTCTGGAGCTAGGAAGCAAATGAGCTGTGGCAAGAAGTGGAACAGCAAAAAGCAGCAGAGAACTAATTACAAATGAAGTGTCTCAGGTTGGAATTGAAGTTAGAGGTCAGAGTGTAAGAGGGTCAAAGCAACAGAGTTTTCAGTGGGTAATTTGGTGCCTGTGACTCGGGAATGAAAAGTGCATATGTCTACAAGAGAGGAAAATACACACTGAAGGCAGATCAGAGCTACTTAAAAGGCAATAGTCTGATACTCCTATAGACATAGCGAGCACGGGCTGGCTGTAGCTGGGAGGGTGCAGATCCCAGCCCTCCCCTGGGGGGTGTGATGGGAGGGGGCGCTGCGCAGCCCCCGTGTCGGCCCCCTCCGCTCCCCGCCCGGCTGGCCGAGAGCAGCCCCCCCGGCCCCGCTCCGCACCCGCGTTCCCTCCCACCGACGGCGGCGAGGGATGCTCCCACCCGGCGTGTCTGCCGGAGTCAGCTGCTCCTTGATGTCAGAACCTGCTCCGGGCTCGGCGGGGCGGGAGCGGAACGGAGCTCAGCCGAACCGCAGCCCCCGCTCGCCGGCTGAGGGAGCGCTCCTGCCTCCCGCACCCTGCCCGGCCCGGCGGGGAAAGCGCGGGGGGCCCATCCCATCCCATCCCATCCTCATCCCACCGCGGACCCGCCCAGGGAACTTGCCAAACTTTCTTTCTCCGTCCCGGGACTCGCTGCCATGGCCCCCGGCAACTCCTCCCGCAACTTCTCCGCGCCGGAGGCTCGGAACGGCTCAGGTGAGAGCGGGGGCTGCGCGGGGCTGGGGGCGCCGGGTGGGGGCTGAGGCGGGGACCCCCCGCACCCCGCCCGGGCCGCTTCAGCACCCGGGGGCGGACAGCTCCGGGCGGGACGGGCTGACCCCTCCAGGGGGGCGGGAGCGGCACCGGACCCATCCCGGCACCGCCGCTGGCCCCGGGGCTCGGAGCCATCCGCTACCTGTTGGCTGCCAGGCAGCAGCAACTCCAGCAGCCCTCCGGTCCTGGCTGCTGAGAAGGGACGAACCAGCCCGGTTAGACAGGGAGGGAGCAAAGCACTGAGAACGTGAGATACTGCTGGAGAGGGAAGCAGAGATCTTCATCAGTCTTCCGTTTTCTCCTTGCTACCCTGCTCCCAAATCAATTGTTTATGGTCAAGTAAGTCAGTTCTTGATGGTGCAAGTTGAAACTCTTCAAGGGAAGGTGGTTTATATGTGGTTTTTGACTCTCTCTGCACCAGCACATCCTTTAGAGACCAAAAGTGTACCTGAGCTGCTCTGTTCTGAAATGCACTGAGATGTAGTCTCTTATGTATCTGGGTATGGCTGAGAGCAACCACCACTTCAGAGAAAAAAAATTTAGCCCAGTCCTCATTCAGTTCACATAGTTCAGTCCCCTTTGGAACTTCCAGAAGGAGTATCAGAGCAGACACAGGTCTACAAATCAATGCCTGAAGTGGCTGTTTCAATAAAGTATATTCACTGGGACGTGCACAGCAGGGCAGGAAATTCAGATTCAATATCTCAGGATAAAAGAGGCTTTAGAAAAGAGATAATTTCTGAGTATTTGATAGATGTGCTCTTCTGACTCAAGCCCATAAAACACACATGAGCTACAGCTTCACGCTAGCTTGCAGCTAATAATGCTTGAAGGTCCTGCTTGTACAGCCACCAACAGCAGGACTGACTGTGCTACAGCATTGCACAGACCACTTTTCACAGGAAGCCTTTGGGCTTGCACACATTCTGCTTTAAGGCCAGCTGAGCTCATTCCAAATGTTACAGAATCACCAGGAGCACTGTATTGATTATACTGCAGGAAAAGGACATTTTGTCCCAATTTCCCGCTAACCAAGTGGCATTTATGTTTCATCACTCATACAATCCATTCCCACCACATTCATAACAAAGTTCGCAGTTAAAAAAAAAGGAGACCAGAACTCACAACAGCTACATGCAGAACAGCAGGGCCACAGTCATCATCTTCCAGTTTCTAGTCTGCCCTCTTCCAGCATTAAGGTGTGAGATCTGTTTGGATGATCAAGAGATGCACAGGTTGGATGCTGAAGAGCATCAGGTTTCAACAGGGCACTGACAGCTGTATGTTATCTACTAAAAGCCACATAAAATGGAACATTTCCTTGTATTAATGAGTTACCAGGAGGAATGGGGACCATTTAACCCCCCAAAAACGATCTGGACAGGCTTTTTTGTGTTATCAGCCAAGCCTGGCTTCCACCTTCAGGCCCCTGCCAGTCTTCCTGTGCCTCATTGGCTGCTTTCTGACGTCTGCAGAGAGGCTTCCCAATAAAATGGTGCAGCAACTGCTCTCTTGGGTTCTGGCCTTGGCCTTGCTTACGCCTAAGCTGGCTGCTTCCCAATGCCAGAAGGACTGAGCCAGTGGCAACTCATCATGGCCCACTTCTAAAAGCACTGAAATACTACACACAGCTGACACAGCACAGACTTTGCCAGCCACAGGCCACCAGTGGGGCCCAAGTTATCTTGCCAGTTCAGACAAACTTCTCTGTCACACCAAAGTAAACGGGGAGAAGGTTGTACTCAAGAATTCCAGAGGTCAAAGTCAGCAAATATCACCTCAAAGAGGCACTGCTTTGGCAAAGACTACACCTACAAGTATCTGTTATTTCACTTAATCTTATTTTCAAGATTTCCTTAGGTCCTGCTGGAGGAACCACTTTTGCTGCTGAGGAGGTGGAATAGCTCAGTGACTGAAAGCATTTCCAATTAACGCACATTGAGTCATCTGCAATTCAATGACATGCAGTCTAAGCTGAGGGGCTGTCATGCATGTCCTTGTAAAAGCCACAAAGTAAATCACACAAAGCCTTTTCCTAGAAAAAAGCCCACCAGGCCCCACAGGAGAGGAGTAATGAGATGAAATGAGATTTGCCTCAGCTGAGAAGGGGAATCTCAGACTCCACCCCACAACGCACATGGAACCCTGCAGAACAAAGAGCACCACCATCACTGCCTTTGACACCACCTTCTGTGCCCAGGAGCTTGTGGCTTCAAAATGGGATTTTACACCCAGACAAGGCAAATGTGAATTTGGTTACTTTTGGGCCTCCTACCCCAAAGAGCAACAGTCAACCATCAGTGCTACGTGTTATCAGGCAAGAATTTTGCCTTGGAAATCCACCTACATCCAAGAACTCAGAGACAGTAGTTTTAAGCTTTTTTTTCTCCTTGTAGAATTAGGACACTCCATGTGGAAGGGCCACTCTAAAACATACTCCAAAATCCCTGTCTGGCCACACACCTGGATTTCTTTCTAGGGAAGAAACTAGAGAAAGGGAGAGAGGCAGAGAAGGAGGATGGAAAGGAGAGCCTGTTTTGGCCCAACTCTGACAACAGACTTGGGACTCAGCCAGGGTACAGTCCCAGATCTCACAACACAGACAAGCATTAGCTGTCTGCCTGCACAGTCAGTGAACTCCGTGTCTCATCCGATACAATAGATAAACTACCCAACAGATGAGCTGACACTTTCTGACAACAGCTTGAGCATTGACTTTATCCAGATTTTGGCACCCCCAGAGAGGCTTTACTTCTCCAATATGTGAAGCACCAGCTGCCTCATCCTCTCCCCTCAAAAAATGGTTGAAAAACCAGCACTCCCTGGAATAAAAGTTACTATCGACTCTGTCAGACACTAGTGAGTACAAAGGCATACCAGCCTGACATAAGTCCCCCCAAAAAGGCAGGGGAGTTTCAGAGCAGAACAGAAGAAAGCTGAGGAAAAATGTTTACACACAGCCAGATTTAGGTGGTGTTCTGCACGTAGTGAGAGGCACAGAAGTGTTGAATCCCCAGCTAAGCCTCACCAAATTCTGCAAAGGGTATTAAAAATCATTCTGAGCTACATCTTTGGTAGGGATGGGTCCAGCTGCAGGACAGGGCAGGCACAGAGTTGTAAAGAGGTTGCCTGTGGGTTGCACTCACTGCTTTGGTTTGTTTTGGCAGCAACAGAGAAGCCAGCACCATATACCAACGTGATCATGCCCAGTCTCTTCAGCATCATCTGCTTCCTGGGCATTGTGGGGAACCTCATTGTCATCTACACTATAGTTAAGAAGAAGAAGCTGAGATGCAAACAGACCGTGCCCGACATTTTCATCTTCAACCTCTCCATTGTGGACCTCCTCTTCCTCTTGGGCATGCCCTTCCTCATCCACCAGCTCCTAGGCAATGGCTCATGGTACTTTGGAGCTCCCCTGTGCACCATCATCACCGCCCTGGACACGAACAGTCAGATCACCAGCACCAACATCCTCACAGTGATGACACTGGATCGTTACCTGGCAACTGTTTACCCCCTAAAATCCACCTACATCCGGACCCCGTGTGTGGCAGCTCTAGTTATCTGCTTGGTGTGGCTCCTCTCCTTCCTGACCATCATTCCCGTGTGGATGTACGCAGGTCTTATGCCTCTGGAGGATGGGACCGTCCGCTGTGCCCTCTTGCTTCCCAACCCAGAGACTGATATCTACTGGTTCACCCTCTATCAGTTCATGCTGGCATTTGCTGTGCCCTTGATCATCATCTGTGTGGTGTATTTTAAGATCCTCCAGCACATGGCCACCACCGTGGTCCCACTGCCCCAAAGGAGTCTCCGGGTACGCACAAAGAGGGTGACCCGCATGGCAGTTGCCATCTGTTCCGCCTTTTTTATTTGCTGGGCTCCCTTCTACATCCTCCAGCTGGTTCACCTTGGCATTGACACACCATCCATGGCCTTCTTTTATGCCTACAACTTTGCCATTAGCTTGGGCTACGCCAACAGTTGCCTCAACCCCTTCCTCTACATCGCCCTCAGTGAGACCTTCAAGCGCCAGTTCTTGGTGGCCATCCGCCCTGCAAAAGAGCCCTGTCGCAACAGCAGCTCTGCCAACAACAACAGCATGACAGAGGCCAGCGTGTGTCTGAAACTGGCACCAGAATCCACCCAGCAGACTCAGTTTCTGGAGGAGTTTTCCCCGCGGTCAGTGCCGGTGACGGTGGCTGTTCACTAGGGCACTCTGAAGGGCCCACAGCAGAAAGACTTCAGGCCTGTAGGTGGATGGAGAAGCAGCAGCTTCAGGCAGCTTTTGGAGAAGCATATGGACTACAAATTTCCACCTCCAAGAGCCCTTTTTCACTGCAAGGTTCTGCTCCTACGTTGCCCCCAGCCTATAAGATGCTGCATACTGCTGCTTCTTTCACTGTGCATGGGAGAACTCTGTCACCACTGGGCCCCCAAAGAGGATGAATGGAAAAGAGATAAAGGACAAAGTATTTCCAAGGGGAATATTCACGCTGGAAGAGTAAAACCCGTATCAATACTGCCCAGTGATGCCTCTTGGCCCAACTGGGGTTCCTAAGCAGCTTGTCAATAGAGCTTCTTCATTCAGAACTTGAGCCTTTGAATCACAATGTCATATATTTATAAGAAATTCTGCAAAATTTGATGGCTGTGCTGATATCCCAGAAGCACACAGCAGAAAAAGATCTTGGGGCCTTTCAGTCCAGTTCTGTCTGCCTCCAGTGGGCTTTATTGTTTGGCGAGCAAGACACCTTCAAGAATTGGTTCATTTTGATGCTAATTCTAAATATTTCAAACAAAATCAGGCAGATAATATTCACACTGCTTCAAGGGACTGCGAAAAATTCTCAAAACTACCGCTGCTAACACCAGCTTTGTGGCTTTTCATGCCAATGAGCAGATTTTCACAGTGCTAGTTCCTCATGCTGCTCTTGTGCCTCACAGTCTGCATGGCCTTTGGGGAACCCCAGGCAGAGGATTTTAAACAGGACTAAAAAACACAATGTGCAGAGCTCTGCAGAGCGAGGAGCTGTGAAAGAGCAGCTCAGGGAAAACAGAGTTGCTTATGCAGCTTCCTCAAAATAACAAATGCTTCACACAAAGTTAAGAGAGGGAAAATTAAATGTCTGTGTGTTGTATATGCAGCTTTAACAGTCGGAGGTTAGGAAATAACTTTGCTCATTATAAAGACTAGAGAAAAAGACAGCACAGATCAGCTAAAAGCAGGGATTACACCAACAGCCTGTGCTGGGCTCCGTGGGGACACACATTGTTCAACACTTTGTCAAACATGGAGGAACTCGTTACTGTAGATGGATTTACTATAAAGAATTAAAAACATCAAACAGTTCAAAGGCATTTGTTACCATGCTTATGGTCTCACGGCAGCAGCCACCCACGATATACCCAGAGCAGAAATTCAGCCTTACACAGCCACACAGCAAAACTGTGTCATCTGCACAGGATTTTCTAAGCCAGGCAGGCATGTACAGGTGCACCCAGTGCACACACATCACACTTGCAGGTGTTTTAAAGTACAGCCAATACTTCAGCCTATACCCTGTAGAGAACACACAGCCCTTCACTCACCTCTGGCGATCAAAGCAGGCAGGTGTGCAACACCAGCAAACTTTTGGCATCATCAGGTGCAGCACATTGTTTTTTGATTCACCCAACAGATCTCAGACCAGAGTCTCTGTCTGTGTATTTTCACCCCAGGTTCTGTCAGCCTGTGCCCTCCGTGGTGGCAGCACATCCACACCATGACCGACGGTACTGCGTCGGTTTTTCACCCGCCTTTCCCCGGGCAATAAAACCAGACACATCAGGAACTTTCAAGCTTTATGACCTGAAAATCCTTCCCCTTTTTAACTGCCAGGAATTTTCACCTGCTGTTTTTCATGGAGCTGCTCTGCTCTTTGGTCAGTGCTCTCCCTGAAGGGCTCCAGAGCGAAGGTCGGGGAAGATGTGGGCTGTGCCAGCCAGACCTGCCCTCAGGACAAGAGAAGCTGTTGTGTTACCTTTCTCCCACGAGGAAGTGAAGGGAAGAACTGGCACACTTTGCTGGGAAAGGAGGTGATAAATACTGGGTGGGTTTTTTTCCTCTAATACCAGTCATAAGGAAAGTATGAGTGAAGTGAAAACAGACTGAATTACTGGGGATTTCAGAGAGCAGCACGTTGAAGATATTATCTTATTCACACAGTAAAGATGTTTATGGCTGAACTGGTCTTTTCCCATCTGAAGTGAGTCAGTCTGACCTGGTACAGCCAAGCCACACATTAAAAACCACAGGGGCACCATGGGCTAACCAGGAAGGGAGGCCACCACTTGGTGCAGCACTAAAAAGGGGTGTTGAGGGGTAAACCTTTTCCAGATCTCATCACACTGAAGTCAACACACAGTACACGGGCACTTTTCCAAGCTGAAGTCCTTTTAGATGTCATCTATGTGAGGTAGAAAGCCATGCCAGAGAGACCTGGACCCAACACCAGGGACAAGGCTTCCCATTTAGCCAGTGCCCCACTAGAGACACCTGCCCCTTCCTACCACCCTGCAAAGGCTCACGGTTTACATTCCCTCATGTTCCTCCTGCCTGTCCCCAAGGTGTTTCCTAGTCCAAACATCTAAATACTGGCTGTGGGGTCCCTCCCTTTCCCTGTACATCCATAAAAGCTGTGACAAACACACCTCAGGGAGACCTGTGGACGAGGTTGGGAAGAGAGGTACAGACAGGAAGCAAACTAGCAAAGAACACAGCCAACATACAGCTTTTTGTCAGCTTCCCAAAATCACCCCAAAGCACAGGGCAAGAGTCTGTCTTTTGAAGGCAAACCTTTTGATCAAACACCTGCAGAAGTGTCACCCTACCTAGAGGGTAAGTTAAGGCCTTCCAGTAGCTAAACAGTCTCTGTGCACCTTGCTGTGACCTGCTCCAAACATCCTACCCCTTCTCGAAATTTTTCAGTCTGAGTGCCCATCGATGTTCTCGTTTGTGTTCAGCTTTACCTCTTTGTCTCTGCATTTGTATTTATTATGTGACCCCCTGTCTCAGTGCCTTGGTTACCAATGGCAGAGCCTGAATAAAAGGCATGGCTAAGTAGGGAAGGACACATACTCACACAGGAATAGGCAGCCCCAAGTGCTGCGAGGTCCATCCGAGAGGCACTGTGAGAAGGGCAGAGAGACGGGGCAGTGCATTTAACAGCAATCCTGCTTCCCATACACAGCCCATTGTCTCTCTTGTTCAAGCCCAGCTAAATAACCTCCCAAAACAAAGGGTGACAGAAAAACTATTCCATCTAGTTCTTCAGATCAGCAGCCCGCTAAGCTCCATGAGATGAATTTCCCTCACTCTCTCTGCCAGCTCTTATCCCGTGTGTTCACGAGCTTCCTTGTCAGACAGCAGCGAGACAGATGGGTTCACTCTCCACCCCCTCCTCTTCCCCTCCTTGTCCTCAGAGGTGCGGCTGAAGCCACATGTCACAGCTCTGGCTCCTGATAAACTCCCACAAAGGGGCAGATGGTCCAGTTACTTTTACTCCTACTTTCCCAGCCTGTGACAGAGCCCGCCTTGGCTGGTCATGTCAGGATTCAGTCCTCAGCTCACCCTTCTCAGTTACCCCTTTTCCATTACCAACATCCCTGTGTCCACACAGGCAGTAAATTAAACTCCTGCCTTCCCCTGAGTTGCAGCTCTGCCAAAGCCAGCCCTAACAGCAAGCTGGAGCTGAGGTCCCCAGAGCCCAGCTGGGCAGTGAGCTGGTGACATCCTTCCCCGGACACCTTTCTCCACCTGAAGTCTCTGCACAGCTAAACCTGCCTGGGAGAAAACTGCAGCTGTGAGGGAGCACAAACGCTGGAGGCTGCAGGGTGGGGAGGAGGGAAAGGTGGGGTGACTCACTGGCCCCTGGGACACAGCCAGAACCTGACTAATCCTGTTTCCTCAATCCTCCTGGGCTGCTAATTGGATGCATTTCATTCAACAGACTCGGAGGAGCCACGTGGCAGGTACGGATACGCTCCCAGCCCACTCGCTTCTCCTAAGTCCTCCTGCCGGATGCAGGGACCACGCAGCAATGCCCTCCCCGCTCATCTCCCATTAGCAAAGCCACACAGAAATCCCCCCATCCCTCCTCCACCGGCTCCATCACGGCTGGGGGAGGGGGCAGCACACAGCAAGGACACCAGCAGCAGAGAAGTAAAGAGGGAAGAATGTCTTGTCTGCAGCCCCGCATTCCCAGTGGAGGGCTCCTCCAGCAGATGGGGATCCTTCAGAATCTCCAGAAGACGGATTTTGAAGCTGGATTTACAGGGCAGTATTTGAACAGGGAACCCACTGCACCACTGGAGGGAAAACCTTTGCTAAGCGATGTAGACCACAGCTGAGGGAGGGCATGGGAGAGGATACCAGCTCTTAGAGCCTCTGTACCCTATCCATACCCCATTTGGGAAACAGCTCCTATTATCATACAGGATAGAATAATAATTTCTCTCGCAGCATCTTTCTACCAATACAGTTGTGTTGGCTGTGGGAATCACCACTCCTGATCTCCCAGTCTGGCTCACGGGAGAGCAGCAGCACTGGCTTCTCCTGAAGGGTGGAGCTGGGCTTCAACAACTGCAAAGTTAAACTTGAGAAGTGGCATATTTCAGTGTGAGGCATGATAGGGCACTTAGGGGTGCTTTCATAGGCACTTCTGAACATGCTGAGGGCAAACATGTTAGAAAAGCCATCGGGGTTGTCATCTCAGTACCTTTCACCATCTCTACTGCTGGAGTAAGGTTCACATCCTATGGGGTCCACACTTACATGAAGCCCTCCTTCACTCTTCCAAAGCCAAGTCACTACATCAGCCTTGCCCCCCCAGGCACAGCAGCTGAACAGCACAAGCACCACTGAAGGCTCAGGGCCCTGTCCTACAGGTCCACACAGGGTTGGTCCTCTGGAAATGAGAGCCAGGTTCTGCCCATCACACCAGGGTGAGTCCAAGTTCACACCACAGTGGTGAGTGGGTTTTTAGAACACCAGGGAGCAGACTCTACCCCAGGTACTGACTGCATCATCATCCAACTCTGCATGAGAACAGGAGATCCACAGGGTCTGACTCCACACAAGTGCCTCTGGGGCAATGATTTTTCCAAGCTTCAGTTAAACAGTGACATGCTCAAGTTTTGGTTTAAGCTTTAAACATTATTTCTTCCACTTAAAACTAAGTTAACAGAGGAGTCAGCCTTTCCCTCCAACCTGTGCTCTTCTGTCCCCTGCAGGTTTCCACTTGCAGGGTAGGCAGCCTGAGAGTCAGTGACATCATTTTAATTATTCTGGTGTTTAGTTACTATTAAGCTGCCTTTGCTAAGTCCGAAAGAGCTCTTATTATTATCTTCCTACACATGCTGTTGGAAGCACAGCTTGGCAACACCAGGCTGTCATGCCCTGCTCCACCAGTCACTTCAGAGGAGAGGGCAGAGCTCTCCTTAAACAGCCACAGCAAGGATTATTCCTCCTTTATCCAGGAGCAGGAATTCTCACACCCACATCCCGCTCCAGGATGCTCTCCTCTTCCTTTTCTCCCATGGGGCTTGACCACAGAAAGCCAAGCACTAACATTTTCACACACATTTTGGCATAGAGGGATAGGAATAAGTGCAGCGATGAAAACAGTGAGTGAAGTTATCACTGATGAGAG